GGGACAATCTTGTGAGAATCCTAAAGCGCGCCGCAACATTTTTCTCAAGATTTCAACGCCACGAGTCTTCAACGCCGCGCACTCAACCCGCGCAACTCTTGCAAATGTTTGAACTGAATGTGCCCGGCGCTAGGGGAGAGCCACATCTTGAAAACGGCTCGCCCTGCATCTGTGAAATTGTTGCCAGTGTCTAAGCTTCAGGCCCATCATTTGCAAGGAAATCTCAAACAAAACGCCCGGGCCGCCCTTCCGACTGGCCTCTGGGTGCGAGGGGGAGGAGTTACACTATCCACAGGAAGAAGAATGGATGAGGATGAGGATGAGGAGGACGAGACTTCCCTCTCCTCCGCCTCACTCTCCCCCCCCCTCCCTCCTCCCTTCACCCCCCCCTTCCCTTTCCCTCCTCTTTGAATCGCTGTGGAGGACGGAGGGCGACGACGAGGAGCCACGAGGAGGCTTTTGGGGTTACTGCCCGGCCGCCTGGCCGCCACTTCCAGCCCTGACCGCCCGGTGCGAGAGCCTGGCGCCCCGACACCGCGCGCGCCGCGCTCCTCGTCGTCTTCCTCGTCGTCCCCATTGCCCTCGCTCATCCTCGTCCTCGTCCTCCACCCTCAACCTCTCCCCACTGCCGTCCGCATCGGCCTCCTCCTCCTCCTCCTCCTCGTGTCCGGGCCGCCCAAGTGGGCCGAAGCAGATGGGGCCCGTGGATCGCGCCGCATCTTCGATGCATTCGCGATGCGGCTCGATGTGGGCCCGATCTTGACAGGCCGACGTCCCCGATGCATCGGCGATTCTCCGAACCCATCTACTTCGACCCCATTTGGGCAGCCTCCATCGTAGCCCTTGTCAGTCTGGAGTTATTCTAGACCTCGCAGTTTTCCTTCTGAAAGGAGCAACCAGGCCAGGTGCTGTTGACGTTGAGTCTGACGGTATAGCCACGGCTACGAGAGACCTCATCGATGAAGCGGCGGCACAGGGTCCTACGCAGTTGGGCAGTTGCGGAATGATTTGCCCAACAGTTCTGGAAGTCGTTTGTTTATGTCTTTGGAGCGTGCCTGTCACAGGGTCTGCATATATATATATATATATATATATATATATATATATATATATACATGTATGTATATATGATATGGGCTACATCGGCCCAATGAGAGTTCCTTGGATTTTCATCACGACGCTTGCCGGCGGAAGTCGACGGAAGTACAACGAGGCGGAAGACGGGGGAAGGCCGTCGGAAGGCTTGCGGATGTTAGCGGAAGTAAACGACGCCCCGTCCGAACCCCTCTACCCCCGTAGAAGCCTAGCAACGTAGTCTTCTTCCGTGGGCCGGGCTGGATCCCGCCTGGCTTATTCTGCTTTAGTATCAGTTTAGTTCAGGACGATTAAAATCCCACCCATTAAAAATGGGGTAAAGTAAAATCTCGGGTCGTTCACAGATCCCGCCATGCTGGGATCGGCTCGAAGTAAAGTGGGGGTCATAAGTTGCAGTATCCTTGCCGTGTTGGGGCCGTCTTGAGGTCATCTTGAGATCATCTCCCGGTCGCGTTTGGATCACGTAGTCTTCGCATGTTCATTCTGGGGCCACCTTGGGCGCGCTTGGATCCATCTTGTTGCCATCGGGCCATCTCGGCGTCACACGTTGCTCATGTGTTTCGTCATCTGCGAGTCGGCCTGAGACGGTCCAGAATCCATGGCGGGATCGTGTTGGGGTGGCATCATTCTGGGGTCGTCTGGACGTCATCGTCCGTGGCCTGAGGCCCTCCTGGAAGCATGTGGTGGCCATGGGGCATCTTGGGACCGCGTGCGTGGGAGCGCTGAGCACGCGCGCGCGACTTTTCATCTTGCTGACGGGTATACATACACATTTTTCCGCTTGCGAGTTTTCACTTGCTTTGTTGGAGCAAAGTATGCATATTCATGTATATATATATATATATATATACACCTATATATTCCTATTTATATATTTTTACAGTGCCGGGGACCCCGGAAAGGCCGCACACGGTGCCCCCCCCCCCCCCCCAAACGAATTTCGGCCTCCCCGAGCTTTTGGGGCGCTCCTGCAGAGTGCTTCGTGTCTGTCCTGCGAGTGCGACGCGAAAAAAAAACACGACGGCCAAAGAGGGCCCCGAGACACCCAAAGATCGGCCCAGACGCCCAATCTGGGCCCAAGACTGCCCAAGACGCGTCCAAGACGCCCCCAGAGACCCCCAAGAGGCCTCCCAAGAGAGCCCCGAGAGGCTACACTTGTTGATTGTCCTTCGTGTTTTTCGATGTTTTTGGCCTTCTCGCTTTTCCCGCTTCCCGACGTTCCACAATGGCCCAAGAGGCTCCCTAGATCGCCCCAGTATTGCCCTAGAGGCCCCCAAGAAGGCCCCAACACGGTCCCGGAGGGCTCCGAGACCGCCCAAGGGGCGCCCAAGACGGCCCAAGAGAACACCAAAACGGCCCCAAGAGAGACCCAAGAGGGCGCCCAAAAACTCAAAAACTAAACTTTCCGCCGCGAGAGGGCCCCAAGAGGCCCGGAGAGAGCCCAATGAGGCCCCAAGAGGCTCCCAAGAGGCCCCAAGGAGCCCCCAAGAGGCCCCCAAGAGGCCCCACAAAGATCCCAAGAACTCCAAAACACCCCCAAGACGCTTCAAAACTGCCTCCCAGAGGGCCCCGAGAGGCGCACCACGAGATCCCAACACAGCGGTCTCCCCCTCTCATTATCCCTTCTCTTTGTCGTCGCCTTCTTCGTCGTCGTTGTTGTCGTATCCACTGGCGCAGCGGGGCCATTTTCCGTTCAAACCACCGAAGGACCCAAGAGCTCCTCCTGAGTCTCCTCCTCTTCCTCATTCTCTTCCTCCTCTGCCTCCTCCTCCTCCTTCTCCTAATTCCCCGTTGTGTTTCACGTTCCGCCCCGCCAAAGGTCTAGCAGAAGCAGCTCTCCTCACTCTCCCGAGTCTCTGCTGCGGATTTCTTCCGCGACACCTCGGCTGTGCCCCAGATATCCACATAATCTGTTTTCTTCATCCTCTTCCTCCTCGTCATCCTCCTCCTCTTCCTCCTCCTCCTTCTCCTCATCCTCTTCATGTTCCTCCTCCCGCCTAGACTGAGCTTCTCGCAACGCTCAATACAAACCGTCGGGGCCAAGACACCATCTCATCCGGACGCGCTGTTGGGAACCAGGGTTGTTGTGACATTTCGCAGATCAGGCCGTCGGGAACCTTCGGTTTCAGCATACACCCTGGGGGAACACTCCCTGGGGACTCGCGGCCGCGCGAACACTTGCAACGTCCTCCTCCTCTTCCTCCTCCTCCTCCTCCGCTTGACTCGCAGAGAGGCCGAGCGGCGCCGCGCCGCGCCGCCAGGGATTGGGAGAATGCACAAAAAAAGAAGCGGAGAGGGGGGAGAGGAAGAGGAGGAGGAACAGGAGGAGGAGGAGGAGGGGGAGGAGGGGGGGGAGGGGGAAACGAAAAGGGGAAGTAGGAAGAAGAGATAACGGAAACTAGTCTAATCATCTTTGCCAGAGATATGCTCGCGACCCCGACCTCAGAAGCGCCTTGCTTCGCATCGGTCCCGCCGTTTTCGCTTGAGACATCATCGCAGCTCTGGGGCCCGAGACGCTCAGTTGAGGTGTTCCCGCCACTGTCACCTGAGACACTCTCGCAAGTCTCACTTCGGGGGTGCCTTGCACCGTGGCGGTTCGGTCACTTTCGCGTGCGACTTCTCGCAACTCTAAGTTCAAGGATGCCCTGAGCAGAGGTGCGTTCAGACCATTCCTCGCTCGAAACTTCCTCGCGCGGCTGACTGCGGGCACGCCCTCCCCTCAGCGGAGGTGTTCAGGCCGTTTTCACCCGGGACGTCCTCGCAACACTGACCTCGCCGACGCACTGTCCCACGGTAGTCTGACCACGTTTGCCTGAGACCCTCGCGCCTGTGAGTGGCGCGATGATACGAGCAGCTGGCCAGGCCACTACCGCCTGATAGACGCATGTGCATGCGCACACATAGTTACACTGACCATTTGCATATACATGTACATATCCATACAAACGTGTATATATATATATATGTATGTACATACGTACTATGCATTCATAGGCGCATGTGCGCGCGCATGTACGCACGCTCGCACTCCGCTAGCGTGCGAAATCCAAAGGACCAAGGTGCATGGCGCGCAGCGCCAATGCAATCTTGTGTGTATGTATATATATATATATATATATATATATATGTCGCGCCTTGGACATACCCCAATATAAATCCCGAGAATTGCTGCCACACGCACCGTAGGTGGTCCCTACTCACGGTTACAAGTTGATTGTTTCGTTCGTGGCCGTAGCATTGATGAAAACACACGCCCAGGGATCCGCATGGATGATGCTGCTTTTGCCAGTACGCACCGTTTCCTTGATATTGCCAGGGTTGTTGTGAAAGCTAGAGTCGGTGGAGTGAGATGCTTCGCTTGTTTGAGTTCTCGGTGCGCGAGTCCACGGCCTGTGACGTGGATCGGCCCCGAAACCGAGTCCAGTTATTTTGAGTTTACGCCGGGCAGGACGAGGTGGACACGCGTGAGGAAGAGGAGGAGGAGGAGGAGGTCATTATATAACATATGCAATAAGCTTGAATGATGCGCGCCGGCCTTTCGCATCTGAGTTAGCGGGTCGTTTGTTGCGATTTCCTGCCCCGCGGTCAAAATCCAGCCGCATGTTTGGTCTTGCTTCGCGATGCCTTTGATCGATCGCAGGAATGATCTTCAATCGCTGTCGAGACCATCGAGATAGGCACCGCGATCGGACATTGGGCCGCACATCATGGCCGTTCCTTTGTGGTTGGGGGCTTGCGGGCAACCACACATGGAAGTTCAGTCACAAACCGAGGATGGCGGCCTTCCTCAAGTTTGCGTGACTCTCTGTTTGATACGCTTTATTCGTAGCCGCGAATGCTGCCGAAGTTGAGCCTGTCTTGTAAGTCTTACTCGCAGCGGTGTCATGCTGCAGACCCCCCAAGAGGACCACAGCGACTGCCACAGCACACTGGCCCTCGACGCTCGCTCCTTCGCGTACAAGGCCTTCCAGCTGATGGCTCAGGCTGTACCCGTTCAACAGCTTTCAAAATGGGGTGATGGACCGAATTTCTCCGTGGGTCGACTTCTGGTTAGAATAGCAGGGGCAGGCGTATCAGCGGAGTGCTACGAAGGCAGTGGGAGCAGAGCGAAAGACCATGCGATGAAGACCACAGCATTCATGCGAGATCTGGAGTACAGTGGAGGAGGCGGGCATCAAGAAGCCAAATACTTTTTCGCCAGGGTGCCCTGGGTTTCTTCGATCCGCGCGCTGCACGGTGACTTCCCGCGGCCGTCAAGAAGCTGCTGCGTTCAGCAAGGGCTCCCCCGAGGGCGCGAAGTTATTCGCGCTTCGCGGTCCTCGTTTCTCCTCCCCCTCCTCCTCGTCCTCCTTTTCTCCCTTTGGGGGGGCGGCGCGAGAGCGCGAAATTATTCGCGCCTCGCGCTTCGCGGAGCGCGAAGCGCGAAGTTGGGAGCCCTAGGTTCAGGGTGCTCTGGATTTTCCCTCAGGTGCACTTCGCGCGCGGGTTTTCAGAGTCGAGTCTCTTGCGATGGTTTCTTGCGGCCGTGGCCACACTCTAGTTCTCGATGTACCGCATTGTGATTCTGGAAGTACGGCGGGGATCTGAGGAGGATAATCCCCGCTGCCACGCAGCGATGGACACGCTGACACCGACATCCATCAGCGTTCGGACGTCTAATGCGATGAGTCCCGTGGATCTCGCGTGCACATCTGGGTCGACACTGTACGAGCGCAAACCTAATACAGTCGGGCCGAGGTATACGATCAAGGTCGGATCGGGGAGGGTGCCCAAATATTCTTCGTGTTAATCCTGGGCAGGGTACCTTGGATTTTCTGTGTGTTTTGGCCGACGGAGGGTCTCATGTCCTTGAGGAGATGTTCTTCTGTCCTAGGTTCGACTGCATTCCTCCTCTGTGATGATCACCACGTGAGTCATGTTTTCGCGGTGGAGGCGCCCATGCTTTCGGCAGGGGCACCGGTCCCGTTGCAGTGTGCTGGCCAATTTGCGGTGGCAGAGCAGGGATCGCGTTTTTGGGGCCACGGAGCGGTCAGCTGCCACAGCGTTTTCGGTGGCGTCGGGACTGAGCGGGGCCGTCTGGGCCACCCGTGGTGGGGGGGAGGTGGGGGGCAAACCGTCTTTCGAGCGGCGTGGCCTGGGCTGGAGAATTGCCTTCCTCGGGGGTTGGTTGCCTCGAGAGGGCGGGAAGATGATTGCGCATCGCTGTGCGTGGTAAACGAAGTGTGGTGATCTGAGGTAGTGATTGGCATGGAGTGGGGGCACCCTGCACGTTGGCAATTCGTTGTGTTCCTTTTTTTGTGCGGGGTGTGTGTTGTGTGTTGTGTGTTGTGTGTTGTGTGTTGTGTGTTGTGTGTTGTGTGTTGTGTGTTGTGTGTGTGTGTGTGTGTGTGTGTGCGTGCGTGCGTGCGTGCGTGCGTGCGTGCGTGCGTGCGTGCGTGCGTGCGTGCGTGCGTGTGTGTGTGTGTGTGTGTGTGTTTGTGTGTGTTGTGTTTCGCATATCCGAATTATTCCCCAATCAGAGCTTGCCTCTGTAGGGGTCCTAGCGGATTCATATGGTTAGGTCAGGTTTGTCGTCGATTTTCGCTGCACGCCCGGGGGCCTGGGGGCCAGGGGGTGCGGGCCCGGGTGCCCGGGGTGTGCCCGGGGGTGCCCCGGGGGGGGCCCGGGGGGGCCCGGGTGCCTGGGTGCCCGGGCGTGCACGGGGGTGCCCTATAGCCCTATAGCCATAAGCCCTATTGCCCTAGCCCCACAGCCGTATAGCCCAATAGCCCAATAGCCCGATAGCCCTACAACTCTATAGCCCTATAGCTCTATAACCCCATAGCTCAATAGCCCTATTGCCATCTAGCCCTATAGCCCTGATTGGGTTTTTTTCCCCGGTATCATGGGGTTATTATTACTGTGGTGATGCCTCCACCTCCTTCCAGTTTACCTCCCGCCTTTTTCCACATTTTTCTTCTATTCTATTCAGACACTTAGAGCCAGAGCCGCTCAAATTCATACTCGACCACACCTAGGCACGCTCTAAAAAATCAGATCACCCCATCAAGTCACCCTAATAGCAGCAAAGGCGAAGAAGCGGGTCGAGGAGTAGAAGGTTGGCAATATCGGGCAGTGGTGAGAGCAAGGCCATGTGCACCGTAGCGTTTGTTTCACAAGGGATCGTGGCCATTTGGACCACTAATTGAGCTGGCATCGACGCGAGAGCGCGATTCTTGAATATCTCGCGAGGAAGACTCAGTCGAAACGGTTGTTGGACCAAACTTCCTAGAGCTCTCCGTTCCCCTTCTGGGACTCTGTGGCAATTTTCGTTTATTTTTTACTCGAGATCGTGGCCGTCTGGACCGTACATGTAGCTGGTACAGAGGCGAGAGTCAGATTCTGGAGTACATTGTTAGGAAGTCTCAGGCGAAACGGCTTCCGTGGTCATAAATAGTCAGGAAGTCTCTAGCGAAATTGGCCTTGTTGTCTTAGGTCGCGGGTACGTCTCAGGCGAAACGGCGACTCTGGAGCGTCTCTGGCAGAGGATCCTCGGGTTCCCTGTTCCCTTTGTGGGAGTCGTCGGTGTCTTTTTAACTCCTGTTCGAACTCTTACCGCTTTCGCTTTTATGGAATTGATTCGCCCATAGCACTCATGATTGGAGTTGCCCACACAGCCTCACCCGCACTCAGGCTCTTGCGCCCTTTAACATCCCGTATTGGTCAAGGCTCAGACATTCGTACGCCGACCTGCTCATGTTCGGACCCGGCAACCGTCGCACGTATTCATGCCCAGACTCCAACATCTTCAGATCTACATTTACACCCGCTCATACCTAGACGCACCCACACTCGGACACACTCACACCCAGACTCAGACGCACGCATACTCAGATTCACTTACATCCAGTCTCACTCACAGTCAGACTTGAGCCTGCTCAGACAAAACACACTCATACTCAGACTTGTTCACACGCAGACTCATTCACACTCAGACTAGACCACTCATACGCAGGCCTACAGCTATTCATCCGCACTTATGTTCAGTCTCACCGCGATAGAGCATGCCCGCTCATACTCATACCTTGTAGCTCCCTACTCTCGTCCCCTCCCATCAGTAGCCGCATGATCACCTCGACGTAGCAGGCACCGCACGTGGGTCTCCCAAAGGGGGAGCCGCAGTGGGGTCCACTCGGACCCTTTCGCGCCTAGCTGAGCGGGACCTATGGGTAGAAAGACAATTTTCGTAGGTATGCTGTGCTGCCAACCTGCATAGTAAGGATGAACAAATTTCCAAAGTGACCCTTGCATCCTTCTCCTTCGGCCCAGCGTTGGCCGCTTTCGCTGGCCGCGCCCCGCTCGTAAAGTGTCGAGATTGCCCTCCAAGGCCCTTGCATCGTTACCGCGCATCCTTATTATACAAGTCGACTGTACGTGTCTCTGTTCAAAGCTCCATGATCACAGCGATGCGTCATGCATCACACTTGGGCCTCTCAAGGGAGAACGTCAGAGGATATGACACGGGCCCAATAGCGCCCAGATTGCTGGAACAGTTCTTGGGGGGCAAACGTGCCTTCCTCTCCCCCCCCTCTTCTCCACAATTACACAATATGAAAATACTCTCCCACTTCCCCTGATGGCGTCCGGAAGATATTCGGCACCCCCCCGCGTACTGTTTTTTTACACACAGGATTCCCCGGAGTTGGGTTTTCGCTTGTGTTTTTTTCTAAAATGCTGCTCTCGCTGAGGCGCCGGCCTCATTTCTGCTCCCGAATCGTTCCGAATCGTGCTCCCGCTCCAGCGTGGGCCTCATTTTCGGATCGGTGTTTGGCCTCCGTCGTTCAGGATGGCGTTCTCGCCCCAGCGCGGGCCTCTTTCTCGCGCGCCCATCCGCCCGCCACCACCGCGCCGCACCACCACCACCACCACCCACCACCACCACACCACCACCACACCACCACCACCACCACCACCACCACCACCACCACCACCAGCACCAGCACCAGCCCAGCACCACCAGCACCAGCACCAGCACCAACACCACCACCACCAGCACCAGCACCACCACCACCACCACCACCACCACCACCACCACAACCACGCACACACGCACGCACGCACGCACGCGCACCACCACCCACTACGCACGCGCGCGCGGAGCCACAGGTCCGCTACGACACGCGTCCGCGGATAGAGAAAATCAGCGCCATGGTAAGGGATGGGAGGGAGGGGTAGGACGTCAGATATGACGCGAGCGCACCTAGCTTGCCTTCCCCCCCTCTCCTCGTTCCGAGGACTCCACAGAGAGGTCCACGAGGCCACAGAGAGCCCCAGGACGCCCCAGTAGGCTCTGGGCGGCCCGCGGCCGATCCTGGAAGCCCCAGAAGGCCCAGGAGGCCCGGGGAGGACCAGGGAGACCCCAGGAGGCCCCGGGAAGCCCCGGGAGGCTCCCGGGAGGCTCCCCGGAAGTTCTGGGAAGCTCCTGGAGGCCCCCGCCTGCCCAAGAGGCTCCAGGAGGCCGAATGCGGGCTCTGGGAGCAGTGAGGCGGTGCCGGAGGGCCCCGGGAAGTTTTGGGAAGCTTCAGGACGCCCGAGCAGGCGCCAGGAGCTTCCAGGAGGTCCCAGGAGGTCGACACAGATCCCAGGTGGGCCTGGCGGGTTTCAGGGTACCCTTATTCATGCACAGATTCGCTCATACTCATATCGACTTATCCTCCACCACTTATACTCAGACCTGCTCGCATTCAAATTCACGCGTACCTAGACCTCCCATTCAGCCTGTCATGCTCACATTCGCTCGCATGCATGCTCGCTCATACACAGGGTCACTTTGTTCAAAACCGTTCGCAGTCGTGCCCATTTCATCGTAACTTGTTACTTACGGGGTGATCACATGTCGACGCGGCGCCCACTTTGACACCGGTGGCATCGGCCATGGAGGATGTGAAACCAATTATGCACATATGGCGGCCTCCGCGTCGAGTAATGTTGTGTCGCGCGTACG